TTTTTTGCTTCATTTAACAAGAGTTAAGTATCAAAAAGAAAAGAAAAACACATTTAAGAGTGAATACGAATGGATTAATTCAAGACAAACACATTCAATGCATTATGATTAGTATTCGAAAATAAGCAAGTTTTGCATACAAGAAAGTACTGAACCAGAACAAGAAAGATTACAAATGAGAATGTAAATGTAATTTGAAATATCCATGTTGAGGAGACTAGTCCCCGTATGGACTTGTTGCTTCATAAGATGATCTGGCATCTTGATATTCACTAAGTCAAAGGAGACTTCAAATCTGACCAATTGGTGCGAGAATAATTGTTTTTGCTTCAAGCAAGTATTGCACTTCATCTCTGAATGGCTTACAATCTTCAATTGAATGGCCAGATGCCCCAACATGGTAATCACATCGAATTCCCTTAACAAAATGTTATGAATGCTTTATCAACCGAACTTTCATAAACTACATCATAAAGTATCTTCGACCACAGAGAAGAAATTCCAACCATCTTTCTACTACACATAAGAGAAATTCGGCCGCTGTATTCCGGAGCGTCTCCTACTACACAAAAGAAGCACCATCTTCTATTACATAGAAGAAAAATCCAACAACCATACCAAAGGATCTTCTACTACAAAGAAGAAAGTAAACTTCATCTCCTACTTCACAAAAGAGAAGTTTTAGCAACCGAATTACGGAGAATCTCCTACTTCATAAAAGAGTCTTCGTATTTTACTACACAGAAGAAAAATTCAGAAACTGTAACAAAGAATCTTCTACTACATAGAAGAAACTAAACTATGAATGTAGAATTTGACCTTTGAGGTATTTTTCTTCTATACAACAGCAAATGTCCAAGATCTTGACATCTTATACTTCTTTATCTTAGAAGCATCCCCATCTTCTACTACACAGCAACAACATTCAGCTGAGGAGAAAGAGTCTGAAACGGTTTGCCAAACATTAACTGAACCTTGGAAAAGAAGCCAGACTAGTACTAGATGTCATACTTCAACCCTTGATGTCTTCAATATCATAACCAGGTTCCCCCGAATGGGAGACACATCTAGCATTTGCATCGAAATTAGGGGAGAAATTTATACGAGGATGGCCCAAAGTATGGAGCTTAATCAACCGAGCTTCTAACACACAAGGAAGTAACTGGATACAAGGTATAGAGATTGTATCAACCTGCTTCTCAAGATTTTTCTATCTTTGATGATAAGCTTTTGCCCACAAGCTCACTTGGAGACCAGAAACTAACTACTAACGAGACAATCCAGGAACACAAAGTTCTGGACGAGACCCACAAAGTATATCTCGATTTAAAAATTGCCCCATAGATTGGGGATGAATGACAGATTCTGTAGCAACACCATATATAGGATCACTTTCCCTTGCTGACATTGTCTTCATAACTTTCCATAACTGACTCAACAAAGTCTCTAACTGGTTATTTTTCCGCCCTTGATAATTTCTAACTACAGGCTATTGCTTGCGTATCCCCAATAAATAGCCCGATCTGATTTTTCTTCTCGTCCAATTCCCCATGAAGTTGTTCCATGGCTCTTTCGGATCAAAGAGCGGTGGGAAGTCAAGACTTGCAGTTGAAAAAGAATAGCGGGCACGGATAAGAATTCCCCACTCTGAGTACCTGTTATGAATGCATGAAGATGTATGAGGTGAATGAGTGGATGCAATTCCATGATCAATCATTTTCAAGAAACCCGTATGTTTTGATTCTTTTGTAAGTAAGAGATAGACAAACACAACCTAATGTTTACAAGCACGATTCCTTGGAAATGGAAATAACATGTGTTAACTCTTTTCATGCATAAATTTTTACACATTTCTTTTTTTGGGAAAATAAATATGCTATGATGCAAGTGCAATACCATAGGTTCAAAAGTTCAGCATAACAACTATACAATCCTCTGGATAACTGCTGTATAAATCTGCTGAATAATATGAATATCACAGGATCAAAGGTTTGGTACCAATTTCATAAGACAACAGAACCAAGTACCATGAATAGCCATTGTATAATCTCTTGAACAAATTGAATATATCAGGATCAAAGGTCCATAACATAACCAAAGAAACATAGTCATTAATAGAACAATATGGACACCATCAGAACAAATAGTCACCTTTTGTACCTGTGATAATTATTCCCTCCCCACTCACGGGTAAAGACTAGGTCAAGGTAGGTCAAAGGTAACTCAAAATCACGGGTTCGCCTGAAAGTACTACCACCTTACCCATAAATGTGGGTGTCAAAAGTAATTTATTTGAACCTCATCCGAGTGTGGTATATGACATGACTGTACTAATCGGACCATGTCCTATAGCCGTCATACCCCCACTCTATTCCTAGTGTCTTAGTGCACTCTAGCCTGGATACTATGCCTTATACCTCAATAGTAACACCCATCTAACATGGAAAACCAGAATCCATCATAATAGATAACCAATATAGAAAGCAATAAAATGTAATGCAAACATATGCTCAAATAAACATGTATAAATGAATAAACTTAAAGCATAAAATTAAACACCCAAAGAAAATAAAACAAGAGCTAGGAGCGACTCCGGGATGGACCAGCATTTGGTCGACCTGTTCCCAGTGAAGTCACCAGCTGAAACAATTGACGAAACAATAAACTGATAATGAAACCAATGAAGTCGCCATCAGATATTTTTTATCCCATGGGAAGGGAAAGGTAAACATCGAGTAAACCTGAGAAGGGTGAAATCAAGGTCGAACGACTAAGAGATACGGGTAAGAGAGTCTATTATACGAGGGGAAGGTATTACCACCCCACACGCCCGTAGTAATATACGGTATCCACTATTGTTGTCAATGTTATGGGTGTGTAAGAATTAATATCTATGCTTAAGAGCTAAAAGAAAATGGAAAGAGGGAATGCATGCAAAAGAAAATAGAAAATAATGTTGGGAAAACAAAGTTGTGCTCGTTCGGGCCCTACCCCAATGCCTACGTATCCCTTTTAAGGAAGCAGAGCAACTGTAGTTCAGCTTAAAAGTTTTGATTTTTTTTTGTGTTTTTTAATGAACAATATTAATTTTGCGTTATGCCGCAGCTCGACCTTTGGAGACTTACGCGTCAGCACAAAAGTGAATCAACATGTTCTTTCCGAAAATTTTGAAAGAAAATCCCGAAGGCGCAAAAGAGTTTGCATTGGTTAATATCTTTTACCTTAAAGAAGGATTTAAAAGTTGTTAGATGTTTTATACTTTTTTCAAGAAAAAGAGTTTTTAGTCTTAATGCAAGGATGCAAAAGAAAGATAAATATCTAAGGGAGACTAACCTAAACATATCCCTAATGTTATCATACAATGATTGATCCTAAGGTTGGGGACACAAATGGAAATCTCTACCCTATTTTAACATGCATGGATACCTATCATAATGTCTAGCTCGAAAGCTACTCTAATCGAGCAATCCTAAAGGAACATGGTATAGCAAACAAATAAGCAACAAGTGCTTTGGCAAAAGCACACAAACATACTGACTCAAAGGGATGGGGGAAACGAGAGAAATGCTTTAGCTAAGGGGAGAGGATCACCCGAAACAAACAAGTAGGAGACAGATGAAATAAAAATGTGACGTCCAAAGCAACTGAACACCTTACCAAGATATAGAAGATCAAGGTAGGCGACAAAAGATAATATGAATGATCACGGAGTGTCAGCATCGGCCAATGTGAACTGCTGACAAAGTGTGAGGGTTTGATTGCAAAACCCTTCCCCACTTGATGAACTCGATACATAAGATCTGCATGACTCTGACACATCGACATACAACATGAGCTAAGGATGACACATACTAGAATGTGCAGGGGTCGATTACGGACCCTCCCTGCTTTCCTCCTTTTGAGGACTTATCATCTATAATATAATATGGGCACAAATGTAAGTACATGTGAATCATACCTACTTCAAAGGTAGGATTTTAAACAAACACATATAGCATACAGAAAGTGGGGCCTGCTACAAGACTTTAAACAGCGACTTCGAGTGAACGCTCTTTATTTCCTACTTCATAATTCACATGATCTCTAGAAAGCGATAAATTCCCCTACTATACATTATCTCTAGAAAGAGATAAAATGCTGAAATGAGAAACCATGGAAAATATTAAACGAACAAAAGTTCATAGCATAGAAAGCAAAGTAGAGTAGCCCGGAAAACTTCGTGCATGCTTTACATCAACCAAAGAGAAATAATCATAAAATCGGAAGTAAAAGATAAGAGTCGAAGCCTCCATGTGAAAAAAAGCCACATACATTCGAATTATCATACGATAATCCTGCACGAAGATACAAAATTATACAAGAAATCTCTGTTGGAAGCTTGCACAAAAATACACCAACTGAGTTAGAAATTAACAAGGCAATATAAGCACAACTCAAGCATCCATTCAAGGATCAGAACCTACCATTAAACCATTTATTACACCAAGCAAATTAAATCAAGGATATGGAATCGACAAGAATACGCTAAAATCCTAATTCTAATCATGTACCAAGCATTAATTCAATTAATTCCTAAATCAATAGAAAAATTATGTAAAAATATCATCAAGTGAGGAATCAACATATTAATATTCACACAAATGCTCAGCCAAAAAATGTACAAGAAACATTAAAAGACTAATTTCTAAAATTTTGAGAACAATATGAGAATTAGTGTAGAACAGGGGAGTATATGTTGAATCAAGGAGTGTGGCTCAGTACACTGCTTCGGGTGTCAGTCCCACTGAGCCCATAAGCTTTTTTTCTTCAATTCCTCCAGGCTTCAAAGAAAAACCATGCGCATGGGCCTAAGGAAGATATTTTCGGTCCGCCAAGTCACCGGTCCATCATCACCTTCAAAAAATGTTTCAACCTGTTATCCAGTTCCTTTTGTTTTGTTAAATTGAACAAAAGAATAAAAATAATAAAAAATGGAAAATGGATTAGGGTTAAGAGAGAAAATGTGTCTCTTCATCTCCCTCACAAAGTGCGACGACTTCGTCTCAATTGTCTCTATCTTCTTCACTTCTCAGCCTTCGTCTTACTCTAAATTTCTCCATCCGGTTTGCTTCGTCATCATCCTATTATGATTTCTCCCCTCCGATTCAAACTCACCTCTGTTTGTTCGTTTACACGATCTCCGTCACAGATTTATAGAAGAAAAAAAGACGGAATCGATTCAAGAGAGAAGAAGAGGTAAATTTGGCTTTTAGGTTCCTCTTCTCTTCTTCTATTTCTTTTGTGAATTTACTATTGTTGTAGTATTATTGATGTTGAAAACGCGATGCTGTTAGAAGCAGTTTGAAGGTTAAAACCTGATGTGTTGATTGTTGAAATTTGTTGAAGCAGAGGATGTGAAATCTTGTGCAATGAAGATACATGTGAAATAAAATATTTGCGGTGTTAATGTGAAGAAGATGATGTTGCAGTTGTGATGCTGTTAATGCAGGAGTGATGTTAATGCATGAAGATAATTGATGTGAATGATGTGGAATCGAGGTGTGACAAAGATGATGGCTGAAGTTGCATGAAGTTGCAGATGCTTTGTTGATGGAAGGTGGAGCGAAAGATAGGAAGAACAAGTTTCATAGAAGGGAGTGAGAGATGAAGATTGCAGAGAGAAGGTTATGTGATTCTTCTATGAATATTTAAGGATGAAGATGTGATGATGAATCTGCACGAGGAGAGTGAAGGTAGAATGATGAATGGTTTCTGAGAATGGTTGAGAGAAGAAGGGAGGATTGAAGGTTGAATATATGAAGGTGGAGTGGTGGTGAAGAAAGAAGATGATGATTGGTGGAGAAAATCCAGAGATTAGAAGTAGAGAGAAGAGAGATATTTTTCTGATTTTTCTGCAAAATCGGTTATATTTAGTTTGGATTCTGTTAGGGATTTGTTTTAATTTTCCATGTTTTTCTTTTCTTCTTCCCCGACTTTCTAATTTTTTTCTGCTGTATTGTTGAACTGTAATTTTGATTTAATTCTAATTTTATGATTTGGAATAGATGTCGTCTGAAGTAGTTGATTAGTCGATGGATCTGATGCTAATTTAGCAAGTGAATTTGTAATCATCACCAAAACCCTTGCCAGGATGGCAGCAGGAGATGCTTTAACAGATGTTTTAGAAGGGTCTCGGTCATCTCCATCACTCAAACATAAGACAATTAATTTTGTAATGTATTTCTAATAAATGGTGGAACTTCTATGGGGAAACACTGAATTAATATGTCAACTACTGAAAGAATAGAAAGTAAGCCTTTGTCATTGACATTCACACCAACTGGATCAATAAATTTAGAAATATTTGTTGCATGCGTGCTTAAAAGTCATTTCCACCCAAGATTATGTAATCTTCAATTATGTTCACTGCAACCTGCAAATGGTAAAAATTTCTTTCCATAATCCCCACAAGGCGTGAAAAGTATGATAGTAATTGAGGCACCATTAATGGTGCTTGGGAAAGTGTGGCCTCCCATAGCAGCATGCTATCTTCAAGAAGATTGATTTCATCTGGACTATTAATATCAACTCCATTCTCTAGAAGTGACACTACAATATTATAGCAAATGGGTGATTGATAACCAAGTGCAATCACAAGGTTTCTCAAGGAAACCAAAAGTTTAATTTGCTGCAAACTTTCACCTTCTACCAGTTAATCTAGCTTGTGGCTTACCTTTAACCTCAGACTCCTGTGGCAAGTGTAAATAAATGTAGTTCTTTGCATTAGCTGGATTGTGATTTTCTGCACCTTTGCTTCTGTCCAATACTTTCTCCTTCAACTAAAACAGAAGGAACTTCTTCTCTCCTTTCATTTATACAACTCAATTCTACATGTTTCCTATGGTTGTACTGCTGGAAAGCATCGAGAAACTAGGTATTGGAATTTTAAATCTCTTTTCAAAAATGAAGAAGACAACCATTTACTTGTGCGATAACTGAATCAGCGTCTCTTTCAGTATGGTTAGAACTACTAACGATTCCCTCATTCTTACTTAACTGTTTGTTCTTCTTAAGAGGTACATCAACATATATGCATCACTAGATGAAAATATCTCCATAGGTTAAGATTGTGAAACTTTGACACTTAAACCATTTCTATTACTGTCATCTACCTTTACTTCAGAGAAATTAGAATGATCTACATCATTCTTAACAGATTTGGTGGCAAAGCATGAAGCTTCTTCAGCAAATGGACAACTACCCAAGCTAATAACAACCTCATCATCAAATTTCCACCATTGCCCAGTATGTTCATCCTTGATGTGGTGAATGTAATGACCACTATTATAACCTTGATTCCAAAATTTTCTTTTGTACATGTTTCAAATTGTAACCTTGAAATATATCATGGATGATATTGTATGCTTTCCACTTTGAATGAACCTTGATAGAAATTGACGACTCATTGTGATTTATTATGATGATGAATGAAGTAGGTTAGAACTTGAACGATGGATGTGTTGTGATGATGTAATAGCATTGAAGGTGGTAACTTAAAGAATTTTTTGTTGGAAATTTTGAATAAAATTTGTGTGATGAATAAAGATGCACCAAGTGATATTGAAACTTGAACTAAACCTTTGTCTTGTAATTCTATTACTTACAAATGAGCCAATCTCCCAACTTAGAATATGAATCCGATTTGTCAAATTTGTATCTTGTATACTATATGAATGGATTTTTAACATTAACCTTGAGTCAAACCCAAACATACCTTGTAATTAGAACTTGTGATCTATCCTTGAACCTTTGGCTTCAAATTCTTAAGATTCAAAATTATCTCGTCGTTGAAATGACAAAAATAATATACCCAAAATGAATCCACCAAATCACCTTTACACCGTAGCTCACACTTTGTATCTCAACCAAATAGAATCTTGATAAATAAAAGCAACGCATCTTTGAGAAAATCATTTGATGAAGTTCAATCCTAATCCAGTGTGTTGTACCCCAAAATTTGCCCTCTCATGTTTTCCAAGGTTTTATCTTACATGGGTGGTCACAAACACTTTCCTAAAGAAAATGAAATTTTTTGAATGATGTCTAAGTATCCTTCGATTGGCATGTCAGCAATATCCTTCGACTGGAAGGTGAACAAAAGGGTCTTCGATTAGCATGTCAACAATATCTTTCGATTGGCATCTGTTCAAGGAGTTTCGCATGGGATTATAAAACCCTTCGACCAAGCATTAGCCCATCAACTTCGATTGCGCGTTGGTTCCCCTTCGAGCAAGCCTTAGTCCAAGTTTCATTCAGGCGAGAACCCCCTGCAAGTTCCCTTTGATCCACCAGTAGTGGCCTCCTACATGTTTATTTTAGCGCACAAGGAAAAAGACTTCTTTCGACTTGCCTTTGATGCACAAAGCAAGAAACCCTACAAGTGTGTTTCGATTCATCAGGCAAAAATCCCCTTCATGCTTGCCTTGAATTCACTAATTTAAAGATTTCCTTTTTGCTTGCCTTCAATGCACAAGGCCAAGACTCCTTAACACAGTTTCTGCACTATGGCGCTTTGTAGATTGAGTTCCCTCACAAGTGATCTATCAAGCAGTTTCGACAATGTCCTCTGGGTCGAAAGCCACATCCCACATTGGGTCGAAGGGTAACACCTTTCTTTGGATCGAAGGGCAGTTACTTTCACAGGATTGAATGATAGCCAACCTCTCCTAGATCGAAAGGAAGCATTTCCTTCCATCGAAACAAACCATTCTCCCCTAGATAAAAAAAACACAATCATTCTTCCCTGAATCGAAAGGCCATGACTCTTCCTGGATCCAAGGATGCCCCCCCCCCCCATTTATATTTTATTTTTTTATTTTTTGTTATTTCTTTATTTTATCATTTGAATCAACTTTAAATCAAAATCACAAAAAATATTAGGTTAGTGTTTTATTAATCAAATTAATTTTGTAAATTAATTAATTAATTATTTTAACCTTTTTTTCTTGAATTTAAAATTAAATAGACTTAGGTTTGTATTTTCTTAAAATAAAACAAAACAAGCAAAAATATTTCTCTTCTTTAGGGTTTAGACGTCCCTGTTAATTTGTTTGCATGCTTATTTATTTTCACTTTTTTTCTCATCTTGTTGTAACTACTTCCCAGTTTGTAATAGTAACTAGGACTTTACTTTTCGCATCTCTATAATGTACCTCTCACAAAGCCATGTAATAGTGTAGGATTTACCTTCCTGCACTTTACATTTATGCCCTTTAAATTCTTGTATATATATTAACTGGTAGTAATTAGGCTTGTATGGAAAGACTAATAATCAAACGCTAGCAAACTTAACAAAAAGACAAAAATAAATGAAACATAATACACTTGCACATATACACCTCTAGAGTATCCCACTTTGGTTGCCTTCGAAAAATAATCATGTCCCTCAAAACGGGGACGCTTTAGCAAAGACCCGTAAATAAAAAAGATCATAGTCGCTCGATGACCCTACAGTTGCCTCTCGGTAAATGATCTAGTCCCTAAACAAAATTACTAAACCGTCTCCACAAGTTGCCTTCGTGACTGTAACTTCCCTTAGAATGTCCCTTATACATCCAACGACAAGGCTACTTACTCATTAATAGTAGGATAGTATTGTCTAAAGGAAAGGAGGAAAAGAATAACCATTTTTCGAGTATAAAGTAGATAGCTGTTAGAAGTTTGCTCAAAACATTTTGCACTTACACAAATACTACTTTTCAAAAACATTTTTCAAAACACTTTGTATACTTTCTCCACTATCCCGAGAAATATTACAAAGTTCACCGTACTAAGGCATTCTCAAAACATTATCAAACACACAAAGCACAAAGGTATTTCAAAATGAGAAAACCTCTAAGAGCCCATAGAAAATTACGGATGGAAAGGGTGCTAACACCTTCCCTTTCCATATTCTACCCCCCTTACTCATAAAACTCTCGAAAAGTTCTTTTTCTATTCTTTTCACACCTTCCTTAATTTGGATAAAAGAAAATTCGATGGCGACTCTTGCTTACCGCAACATTTGCGAACACAAATGCAAAACCAATATTAAATAGTCGGTTATGCCACCGTACAATAGAACTGGAGAATCTTTTGGGGATATATAAAAAGTGGGGTTACCTTAGATTTAGTTCATTTTAAAATTGTTGTATTTTCTTGCTTTGTATGCTTTATCTTTGGAGGGTTGTTTGGGTTGTTACTATAGATCCTACACCCGGATCTCGGGGCATCTTTTTAGGTAAACAACAATAGATCGTGGAGACTATACGGTGTAGACCGATATGGTTGAAGCGATAACTGTGTTGGTGTGACACGTTGGTTGGTACCGGTATTCTTGTGTTGAATCAAGGAGAATACGGGACCGTCGTGTGGTGTCGTGAAGCACTAACGGACCTTAGAACCATAGTTGAACAAACATGGACATTA